AACAACCGAATAGAATGGTTCAACGAGTACGGATTGAAGGGATGCTCAGTGGCAACGCGTTAGTCGCAGCAGATTGTCCGATAAAGACTCAAGGATTCCAACTAAAGTGCATGTGCTTCGCTAATGGCCTGCTTCCAGTTTTGACATTCAGCACGAACAGCGGCGGACGGCAGTAGTCTGACGAATAACTCGGTTGATAACACCGTGATGCGCTTACAGAATCAAGTTCTTAAGCCGTTTTGCCGTGTTCTCATCTGAATCTTGGATGAGTAGCTACGGATGTGCTCCCAATTCGCAGCTGTTAGTGCGATTATAGATTTTCGGCTTGTAAACGACGCTGTATGAGAGGTTATCAACATCCATGCCCCATGGGGGGATGCAACTTCAATGTACAAGTACGTATGTAGTTCTTTCGTTTTGTAAGTGATTTTGATAAGTATTTGGTCAATTGAAATGTCCCGATTAGATGAATGTTGCTTTTCAGTGAAACAAGAGCAGTGTGGCAGACTATTCCAATTAATCATATTGTCGAGCAGATTTGAGAAGACCTACTACCAACGATTTTAGGAAAGTGAACTGATAAATTCCTGATTTTTCTAGCTTAGCACATATAAGACCCTATTTTCGCGATTAGGACATCTGGGATTCCCAGTACATATGCCACAAAATTGGTGCTTCTAAACATTTAATGGAACGAATAACCAGCTTATTCAGGGAAAACGAATGACGAATCTTTTGTTACTGTATTATAGTCCAGTTAACACATTTTAGACCATTCATGACTTGTCTTGAATGAAATTTGAACTGGATACCTTTATCGTTAGAAGCAGCTAACCACTATTTCGGGCTCGTCCCCAAAAAATACGGATCGATCAGACTCAACCTCCTCCAATTTCCATAAAACATTGCACATTTTTTTAATTATTTAATTCCCTTAAAATTATCCATACGATCCGCTTGGAACCAGCCCTAATAAAAATTCATTGGAATTTGACCCTGAATTATTTAGGAACAATCCACAGAATTCAATAGCCTCAAAGTTCTTCTAGGAATTTCCTAGTAATTCTCATCAGAACTTTCCTAGTATTCTTCTCCGCACTTGTTTGGAAAATAATTGGAATCTTCCTCACAATCGTCTAGAAATCTCCTCAGAGGCAAATACAAATTCTACTATCAGAATCAGGATTGCTTCTACTCACTTGCTATAAAAAATCGTTAGACGTTATTATGATATTTTGTACTTGTAAGTTGAGGTTGCAAAGTATGTGTTTGACACATGAAACTTGTCAATTTCGCTTTCAACGTGTCAAAATCAGCGATTTTATGATTTGTGAGTGTTCACTCAGAGTGAGTGCTCGCGAGTCGTAAAATCACTGATTGTGACTATCTGAAAGCGAATTTGACAGGTTTTATGTGTCAAACATTTGCCTTTCAATCTCTTCTTGTATCTAAAAAGTGCAAAATATCATTATAACATCTAATGATTCCAATATTCTTAAAATCATTTTTTTTTTAAGCAAGTGAGTGGAAGCAAGCCTGATCGGAACTCTATTTAACCTGGAACTCTTCTAACAATCACTTTGAAATTCTTTCCATAATTGCCTTGGAGATCTAGTAAAAATTCTCTTGTCGCAAATCATGATATCTAGAATTCAATTTAAATGCTTCAATTTTTTTTTTTTTTGATAAAATCTTAAAAATCCTGGGCTTTGAAAACATTCCAAGGACCACATTTTTTTTCATTTTTCAGGAGGAAGGACGAAGTATTTTTTTTTCCTGTTTTATCATCGAAATTCACGGTATTTTTTCGGTGATTTCAAATATCCAGCTTTAACCCGCTTTTTCAGATTTCCCGGTTCACAGTAATCTTTTATCGAATAAACTAAAACTAGATAATGTATGATAATGTAGTATGGCATCAAGAGTCAGGTTACGCGAAGACACTGCCAAACGAGATAGAAGGAGAGTTTGAATTCTCTTCAACTCTTGCTTCTAGCGGTGAGAAAACTTCTAAAATTTGTTATTTTTAGTAATAGCGACCAGGGTTGCTTCCACTCACTTGCTATAAAAACATATTTTTCGGAATTATGCAATCATTAGATGATATAATGATATGCTGTACTTGTAAGTAACGAGAAGAGGGTTTAAAGTATGGGTTTGACTCTTAAAACCTGTCAATTTTGCTTTCAGAGCGTCACAATAAGCGATCTTATGATTCGTGAGCACTCACGAGTCGTAAAATTGCTGATTGTGACGCACTGAAAGCAATATTGACATATTTTATATGTCAAACACATACTTCACGTCCTCATCTTGTAACTTACAAGTACTAATTATCACTATACCATCTCATGATTTCATAATTCTGAAAAACATTTTTTTATAGCAAGTGAGTGGAAGTAACCCTAATAGTGACATTATGTAGGAATAATATACCGGGCAATATTTGCCATTATTGATATTTTTAATTAAAAAAGAATATCGCCATGCATCCTCAAGTCGATTTTTCACCACCCCATACGATTGAGTACTGCTCACCTTTTGGTGGTGAGTGCTGTCAAAAACACATAATTCTAAAGCAACTCTGAATGATTTTCGGGAGGTTTCTAACGGAATTCTGATGGAAACAGTGAATTAACCCTACGACAAACTTGATCATGCTATTGATACAAACTGAAACTACCCCTAATGATCACCTAAAGTATGCTTCAACTAGAATCCGGAATCACAGTTTATTTTATAACAGCGCCCTAGTGGTCGATTCTGGAATGTTTTGACAACAGTTTTATTTTAAAATTATTCTTTTTTGTGTGCTGAAAGTATCGTTACGATTCGTGCAATTTTTAAAAAGTTGATCTTGTTAAAATTTTGTTACTTCCGGATTCTAACTGAAGCACACGTTAGGTCCAAGACAATCTCTTAAATGTTAATCAATCAATCAATCAAAGAGAATTCTATGGCAAACTCCAACGGAATATCGGTAATAGTTCCAAGAGAACCTAATGCTGAATACAACTACTAAAAACTTAGCAGTATTTCAAACTGAAGATAGTTTTAAGAAAATTTCTAAGAGAATTCATAAGGATGTTGAGCGAATGAGGAGATTTCACGGGGACATTTGAACATTTCCAAAAAAAAATCAGAGCTGTAATTTAGAAGATTCTGACCTCATTTGGAGACTACAAATGTTGACACAAAATGACGTTATCACGTTAGAAATTGCTTAAGATTCTCACTTTAATCATTTAGGAAAATTATCACCATGCTTGACAAAATTTCAAAACTCTTTGGTATCTCGTTCAAAGGAAAAGTTTAAAATTCCGAGCTTGAAAAGAACATCAAGATTCTAAGTGAAATATTTGAGACATCGGACAAAGAATATTCTAACAGAATTCAATCATGTCTAAACATGTATTTTAAGGTTCAAATCAAATTTCAGGTTATTTTCTGTTTTTTCACAGTTAATGTTTTTTCGCAGTTAATTGAAAAAAGGTTGTTCAACTATTTATGTCATGACCTTCTTAAGAAGTTAGCTTCATAACAACAAATAAAAAACTATTCTCTTAGGTAGTTTTATGATATTAGTCTTCTTATAAACTTTGATCTTAGTAGTTTTAGCATCTATGGAAAAGACTGCGAAGAAAACACAACAATTGTTTTAGCCTAATTTGGCATCAATTCTGCACATAAATCTTGTCAAAAATTGAAAAAAATAGTTATTTAGACTTTTGCCAGGAGCAACCCAATTCAACTTGTTCGCAACTACAACCTATTGAATGCCGACTGTAGATGCTGAATGGCTGTAAAGAGCATCTTCAAAAAGATATAAAGAGCTCTAAAACTTTTAAATAAACAAAAATAGACTGTAACGAAAATACACTGTCCGAAACCACCAGTGTTGGGAAAATATCAAAAAATCAAATCTCACCAACGCCCAAGATCACACTTGATTTTCGTAGACAAAAATCAACAAGCAAACAACTGCGGTTTATTTTGCAAGCTGTGATATCGCAGATCGGAATATCAAGCTAACAAAACTCACCAACTACAAATATCACCAAACTGTGGTGAGATTGAGTTTAATGATTTCAAAGGAGCTTGTAAAATCAATATCAAGCATGATATTTTGTTCCAATATCACGCGTGATATTGCGAGCCCATGAGAGCGGAAAAATATCAATTGATTTCTGATTTTGCCAACACTGGAAACCACATAAGAGCAACTAAACCTGACATAATACCATTCCCTTAAAGAATATTTGTTGGTCTAATTTTCTTTGTTAAGTTTTAACGGAGGACATGACACACATATTCGAATAATTATTTTTTATTTTTTTACGCATATGGAAGGAACATTTTGTTTACAACTTATTTTCGATACAGTCCTTATGCTCCTTTAATGTCCATTCATGTTACTTCCTAATGCAACTTTTGAACATTAAAATATTGTTATCATTGTTTTTATACCATCAACATTTTTTGTTTAATAAATATGATTAATTTAGGCTTTGTGGTAAAGCTTCTGTTGTATCTTCCATCGTCCAAAACTATTTTTTGTACTTCAAAACAGTGTAAAGGGAAGGAAAAGGTTAATGTGTACGCAGCCATAATTTTAGATTTTGAAGAGGTACGAAAGATGCACAACAAATAAGGATTCCACTAGAACACATGAATCAAAGTTACATAATTTTGAAATAAAGAATCTGCTTGTACTCAATCTCTCATGAGCAGCACGGCTTTGACAACATATCCAATCAAACAAAATCCGTCCTTTCTAGATACACTTAAAGCATCAATCGACGCAAACCTAACACAACGCAATTTTTGCTATGCACAAACATTGTATATGCGTAGGGACGAACGACCCTCAAAACGAAGGATTTTCCATTGGTTCCAATCGGCCTTGATACAAAAAAAATATAAATCCAAAGAAAGAATGCAGGTTGTTCTAAACACGAGGAAGGAGTTGTAGTCCAGGTAGGGAAAGGTAAGCTACTTACATCATCGACCTCGATAACATCATCGTCGGAGTCACGGATGTTGTCTTCGTCGTGTAATTCCAGATCAAAAACACCAGCCATTTTGGTGTCGCCGTGTGTTTACTGTTTTTTTTTTCTATATTTACTCTTCTTCTATTTTCCACACTGCCTCGGAAATTCCTGCAGGCGCAATTTATCACTTTACTTTTCCTCGGAACTTTTCACCGTCCTTCGACGCTACGCCACTAAGGAATGAACACTGATTTTTAAGTCTTCTTTGCAGTTAAGCTCGGTAACTGAAAAGATCTTTACCACACACTAACTATTATTCACCGCAATTTTTCTTCACATTCCTCCGGTGCTACAAGGGCTGAATTCCCGGAATCCGCAACTCTCGGGGTTTTCCCTCAGCAGACACAGCAATGAAAACAAGTTTTGCCGTTTTTTCTCCCACCAAACTGCACTCAAACTCGATGAAAAATCCTATCAAAATAAATGCCGTTAAAGAACACCTGAGGGTTTTGAGCACTGAACTAATGTTTTTCCGTTTTCTCCGAAAGCGAAAAAAGTGCGAATATTTTTCCGAAAAATCACACAATAATGGCGCGGTTTGTTTGGTGAAATTCGACGGACGAGGCTGTTTTGTTCTTTTGCGTTGTCAAAAACGTTCTGTCACTCGCCGTCGCTTAGCTCGATGGCACTGCGCTGCACACGCACACTACCGTACACCGGATTGCAGGTATGGAAGAAAAATTACACCCGAGCGAGCACACACCACACACACACCACCACGCGCACGGTTACTGAAAGTGAGGATGAGTGCGAGAGCTTTACTGGTGTGTTTAGAAAACCGCACAACAAAAGAGGAAAGGAATACTACGCACGCACACACGCTTGGCTTCTCTCTTCCTGTGCGTTTTATTATTTTTTGCCAACCACCTTCAGCGACGTCTGACCAAATTTCAATGGGGTACACATGCCAAATTCGGTCAAATGTCGTAACAGGTCGTAATTAATTATGCCAATAAATGCGAAACACACGGAAAGCCGCTTTCGGAAGTCTCGAATCAAAGGCTGCTAAAAAAACATTCAATTTAGAAAATTTTAAAGATACTTCAGAATCGCGATAACAACGTATCAGCCCGTAGATAAGGTTCACCTTTGCAACACAATTCTGTTACGTATTGACGGATTTTTTTTTTGGCAAATAAGATCACTGCTTATTTTTATACAATTTGCACAAAAGTTTAAAACCCAATGACTGGTCATTCGAAAAAAAAATACAATTTTATGTTATCCACGACGGCTGTTCAAGAGCATAATCGAATTTTTGATATTAAATCCAATTGATATCCCGGCGTTAAATTTAACAACGATCCGCAAGACCGCGTGTTTGCACCTATGATCCAAAAAAAATCAACGTCTTCTTACGCGACGGCTTTTCGATTGTACCGCACCGCACCACCGATTCGATAATTAGGTAGTTAAAAAAATGCAGCTTTTTTCGATCCTCTCGGTGACGACACTCGCTAAAAACTACACGCTAATTTCATCGTCCCTGAGACCGCACCAAATAAATAATAATAAACCTTTTAGTTTCTTCCTTGCTGCACCACACCGCACTCTTCTATAAACGGGTAAAAATATTTTCTTTTTGACCAAAAGTAGTTGAATATGAACAAAATCTCCCCTCTAGGAGCCGAACGGAAAACACGCACGTCGCGAACCAAGTGTAACCATCGTCTAATCAATGGAATGGTTATTCCGACTGCTCGGAGGCGTTCGCAGAACGGATTTTTACTACGTACAACGCATACGTACGGTTACTCTATTTACGATTACCACTACTACGATACGAGCCGGAAAATATTCGCGAAGTTGAACCCGAATCGACGTCGACGTACATAGGTAGTTAGATACTGGTTTAATTATATTAAAAAAAAAGGATTTCAATTCAATGTTGAAATCATATTAGATATTAATTGTAATTACTTAAAATATTACATTTATTATATTACTTTCAATTAAATTTTCGAGCGCACTATTTAAAAAATCAGCCCAAACTTTTAATCCTACAACATTTTCGACCCTGATTACCATATACATATTCAAAAATGTATTTACGAACAGCTAGCAACAAATTAGTAACGCTAAGTAGTGGCAAAATTTAATATTGGCCATCTTTGAATCAGAAGTATCCCTGAGTGCGACGCCGGTTCGGCTTCAGCATCAATGCATACATTAGAATATTCCACACATCACCACCTATCACCACTACATGAAAGGTTTGCCGATGTACCCCAGTGCATGAATAGAATGGAGTAACTGGAAAAACAGAAAATACAGCAGCTCCGCAGAACGTCGACCTTGGCTTGGCGAGACATTTTTAAAAAGCACCGTTAGGGTGGATCGGTCTTGACGAGGCCGATACTGGGGTGGGACGTGCTGACTTATCATTCTTGTATGAAATTGGTTCCAAACGTAAACAAACCCTGTAGGTTTCTTATGGCTTGTTTACGTTTGGAACCAGTTATGCGAGGTAGGCGACGATTGTTCGTATTTGACAGCCACCTCCCCCCCCCCCCCCATTGGGCCGATACCGTGTCTCGCAATAGGGGAAGCCGGGATATTGAGCCGAAACAGAGCGACAGCAATGTGATGTAAATCAGTGAATTTGTCGTCTCTTTCGTTCTGCCGCTCCCGCTGTTTAAATGAATGGATGACGGAGATTGACGTCACACTCCATGAACAATTTAAAAACCAAGGCGTCTGGAATACAATAGTATTAGATGTTTTGACTTGTAAGCCCAAAACAAACAGCCATTTTATTAAAGGGCTAGTTTGGTATATACGCATTTAACGGGATCTGTGTACTCCGCTTGGGTGTGATTCGGTATGACCAACAATCAATACGAAACTAACGATTTTAAATTGGCTCACCACTTTAGTAGCCTATTGGTCCCAAGCAAACGATTAACGTACCCTATTCTAGTTGAAATTCTATTACTACACTATGTTTGTTTTGATTAGCTATGAAAGTTTGACAGATAACATCAGGGGTGTGTGGATTCATGCAGAACATGCAGGGGTGAGTGAATTAGCTTGGGACTGCTTGGGACCGTTGTTCTGGTACTGAGTGAGCCAAACATAATAATGATTTTCTTCGGGACCCAGTGGTCTTAGAGTTACCTCTATGGTATGACTCCTTTCAAATTAAAAGGTTCAATATTCTGTATACAGAAAATGTAGAGGTGGCAGCTGGTTCAACTTGGTGACCGTCTTGTGGTAAAAAAAGAATCCAAAGCAAATTTCTGTCATCGTACAGTTTGCGTTGATTTGAATTGTTTTCGTATTATTTATAAATTGAACAATCGGGAAAACTGTGTAAATTTTTTTCTGTTTGCAACTATTTCAATATGTTAACGGATCTTCTGTGTGTTATATGCTGCCAGCTAAGGGATTTCGATTCCGCAGAATTCCGTCGAACATAAGGAAATGTTTAACAATGTTTAAAAAATAAATGCGTAGATATCAGATTTTGAAAGGATCAGTTCTTATTCAGCCATTGTAGCACAGGTGATCCACAACTTCTCGATCCGTCTCATGTTTGTCAATCTACCATTGAATAGTTAGTACTTATCGAGGTACTTATTTAAGCTTCTCCGTGTGCTTATTATTCTCGTCCATATGTGTTCTTGAGAATTAAACTAAGGAACTATTAAAAACAATTAAAATACTATTATAATCGATAACTTTAGGCTGTATGAAACATCTTTTGTTCCAGCACTTTCTTCAAAAATAAATATTTGCATCTCAAAACAACGACAAACCTTTTGGAAAAGAAAGGGTTAAGCCGGGGTATTCAACTCTGCACACCTTAATCCGTTCCGAGTGATTGAGCTGTGCCAAGCGCTATGCCGAACGTGGTTTCAATCAAAGTGTGCCTAGCAATATGTAAATATTCCATGAGTTTGGCAACCCCGAGAGTTATGACTTTTTTATTGTGTTTACATTCGCAATTTATCAGATGGATCAAGGCAAGCAATCGGCTTCCCTTCATTCTCTTTAGTGCGTTTGCGGATCGGGAGGTGGAAGAGGAAGTGGAAGCTATCAAACCTGTACGGTGTTCAACCCGTTCACCAGATTCCGGCTCGATGTCCCTGCAGCTGATTCCTTGCAGATGTACAGAAATGAAGGCGTAACCCGATCGATGATGGATGAAATTGCCACCTGCTCCCTGTCAAATTATTCCCGACTAAAGTAACTCAGAATTTGAACGGGCGAGAATTCAATCCTACCCTAGGAGCAACATCCTCGGGCCTGCCTGCGAACGTGTATAAACTGACGTTCGTCTTCAGGTTTGTTTTTGGTTTTCATAATAACGGGATCCAACTAGTTTGCACCATAGTGAACACAACAAATCAAGAAGACTTGCAACTCTTCCATTTTCTCATATGTACGCTATGCGACAGATACAATCGCGTCATCTGCCGCTCAAAGGTAAATGCTTTGAACGAATTAGATAGCAAAGATTACATCCTCAGAAGAAAGGTTTGTGTATTTCCTAATTTTTCTATGCGTTGCTTCCACCTTCACTCAAGCGCAGCGCTATTGTATTTGTCGCTTGGATTCTGGCAAAGTTGCCAGTCTTATTGATATGATGTCTTTGACCATAGGTAGCGTTTGACCAACCGTCGGTCATGCTTGGCATAGGGTAAACGCTCCTATAGTTGCGGTACGTTAGAAGCGTTAGGTTCCTATAGTTGTGTATGGAGACTCCACAGACTAACGTACCGCAACTATAGGAGCGTTTCCCCTACACAGTTTTGGGTACGAACTGCTCATTTGCTAATAACTTTGGACACAGTTGACGAAAAATAGTTTTTTTTGAAGCAGTAGATAGAATAGACTTTAAGCTTGATATAGATACGTAAAAAAGTAGATTTTAATTCTAGTACCTAATAAACTGTAATTGTTTTTGCGTTGTAAAAATGAAGTGAGAAATGCTCGCTACACATCTCGGACTTTGAGAGTAAAAATTATTTGAAGTTGATTCATATGTTAAGATTTATCTACTTTTTGCACATTCAAAGTGTTTTTATGTTAACTTCATACGCGAAGTTAGCGATTTTCAGAGTTGGTTGGAAATGCTAACATGAAGCTTTAGTGTGATAATTTATTAGTTAGAGAATAATCTTTAAAAGAGGGTAGGTGGATAGTTCCGTTAGAGTACGGCAGTATGATTTTTTTTTTTAATTCTTTATTAAAGAGATTTTTAGCCTTAGGCTAGTTCATCTCTAGGGCAGTATGAAAATTGAATAGAAGTTGAAAATGAGCGAAGGCCATTAATGCGACAGTACAAAGTCAAACGCACATCTTTTGCCTAACCCGTACGATGTACGCGGAGACTTGAAGTATGTTTTCAAGTCTACAGACAAAAGATTTTTTTTTTTTTCCTTTTTATTTAACGTCGGTCTCTGTTCCGCAATCTAGTGCCAATCACCGACGGACATCGATTGCCATCCATTGACGGCAATCGAATGTGCAGGAAGGCAGCTTCCACACCTGCGTACGATATCGCACCCATTCATCAACACACATGGACCGGGACCAACGGCTTTACTTCCCTTCCGAAGGAAGACGTGACCAGAGATTTTTATGCCTCAGAAAAATCCCACCGAACTCGGCTGGGATTGAACCCAGACCCATTGGGGTGAGAAAGCAGTCACGCTTACCACTACACCACCAGCGCCGGCTACAGGCAAAAGATGTGCGTCCTTCTTTTGCTCATTACTGACTGCGGCTGTGGAATAGTTCTAGCGACATTGCATCACTACCTAAAGCCCCACGTTTGCGAGAGCATTTCCAGTCGATGGTGTGTTATAATGCAATTCTTCTTTACCCAACTATTGTGTTGCTCCTCTCGTCATGACCAGCGTGATCATCTCAGAGAGAAAGCAGTATGGTGGTTGTTGCGTACTGTACCATCATCAGCACTCGCATCAGCATTGTTGACGGCTACTCCCGCCTTGAGTTGTTACATTCAAAGTGTTTTTATGTTACTTCATACGCGAAGTTAGAGATGAATGATGATTAGTGATGAAACGTCGCTAGAACTATTCCACAGCCGCAGTCAGTATTGAGCAAAAGGAGGACGCACATCTTTTGCCTGTAGACTTGAAGACATACTTCAAGTCTACGCGTACATCGTACGGGTTAGGCAAAAGGTGTGCGTTTGACTTTGTACTGTCGCATTAATGGCCTTTCGCTCATTTTCAACTTCTATTCAATTTTCATACTACCGTACTCTAACGGAACTATATTCACCTACCCTCTTCTAAAGATCATTTTCTAGCTAATAATCTATCACACTAAAGCTTCATGTTACTTTTTGATTAAAAAATTACTTTAAAGAAAAATAAATTTCATCAACTGAGTGAAAAGTTATTAACAAATGAGCAGTTGGTGTGTACAACTGTGCATGCCAAGCATGCCGTCGGTCGCTGGAGGTAACCAGTTTCAGCCGTCTTGACTGCCGTATCGACAAGATCCTCTCGACCGGCCATAGTGTGGATGAACTAGATTGAAGTCAATCCCAAATAGAAGCTGTTCTGGATGAAATCACGAGCCACTGGGATTTTTGCTGTGAATAGAATGAGACGGATTGAGTTGTGCTAGATTTAAAGAGATTCACGGTTCAGAGAATACTCACAGATTTTTTCGGAGCGATCCTCGAAACCGGTTTATCGTTCTTAAATTCTTGATTGAATCAGGGACTGAATCGTTGTTTTACTGTTGTACCAACAATCAATACGAAAGTAACGATTTTAAATTGGCTCACTACTCACAATGTTTGTTTTGATTCGCTATGAAAGTTTGACAGATAAAATGAGGGGTTAGTGGATTTTCCTATGTTTCGAGGGGTGAATCGATTAGCTTGGGACCGAAGAGAGTACCAGAGCTGAGCCAAAAAGTTGAGCACGTTATTTCGAGACCTTCTAGTCTTAGAGTTACCTCCGAGGTTACCTCTATGGTTGTACTGAGTAAATAAAGTATTCACCGGTGTAGTCAACCTTAACAACGATTGGCAAAACGTCAACACTCAACAGTGATGTCATCTTATATTGTATCGTTTGTGTGCTACTAGTCAAAGTGTGCCCTATCGTGCCGAACAGTGTGCCGTGCTGTGTTTTGGCACAGTGTGCAAAATTGATTACCCATTGGGTTAAGCTCGAGGTTAAGGTAATTCTGAAGAGACTATTATGGGAATAATGATCATAATTCCACGGAACTCTAAAGCAAATCGAAAGGAGTTCAAGCGAGATTCCTAAAATAATTCGGAGCCTCTTTCCTTAAAAGTGAATTAACCCTGCGGCAAACTTGACTACATTACTACATACCTGAAACTACGCCTAATGATCACCTACGACAGAAAATCTATCAAAGATATTTTTTTAGGAGAGCTGCAAGGAAATATGGATAATGATTCCATGAAAATCTAATTCTTAAAATAGCTCGAATTTCATGGTCGTTTGAAGAAAGTTTCAAGTGAAAAGAATTAATAAGAATTTTGAGGGAATTTCATGGAGCTCCCGGGAGGGTTTGACAAGAATTAATGAGTATGACCTTAACAGGATCTCTTGAGATTCTCTGGAAACTCTCCTTAGTGTTCCGTTAGTAAATTATTCAGCTCCTCTTGAAGCACTTTATCCTCATTATTATTTTGTCTCACCTAAAAACTGCGCTCGCCTTCAACATAAATTTCTTTTAGTGTTTGGACCCGCCGTATTAGACAAAGTTGTAGCAAAATAGATGGTTGGTAATAGGAAAAAATAGACTCGGAAAAAAATATCCGTTTTTGGTCACAAAAATCAAACAATATATAAAAAAAACTTCAGTAACTTGGTCGTATTTGACCCTTACATAACTTATTATAACTGTGTCTGCTATGGCTAATGCGCTAATTTTCACCTGTTGGTTTTAGATAAATGATCAATATTGTTTCCAGAAATTATGCCAATTCTTCATCATATTATTTGCGACATATCGGCGGTTGAAGTCATTATTTACAAAAGCAAATTCGCCCTAATGCGTATCTTTTCCCAGAAAAGTGAAGTGAAATTTCCAACCGGAAAAGACCCTCAACATAGTCCAAAGCATCTGCTTGTTTAACCGGCTGTTTGTTGACTATTAAGTTAACGAGATTTCACCTCAATTTGATTACAATACTTCTCATAATAATTGTATGCAATGAACGTATCGTGACGTCTTTCTCTCTGGCTGATGAAATATGATCCAATCGGAGGAATCTTAGCCCATTGGGTAGCTGAAGAAGTACCGTACAGGATGGAAATCCGTACACCGCATACAAAAGTAAGTGCACGGATTTCGATTATTTTTTTAGGTTCACGGATTTCGGTCTCACTCGGTATATGTGTGAGAATGCCAGACAACAATCCCTTATGGTTGCTTGCCTCGTTTACTTCGAATCCGGCCGGTACCAATTGGATCGTGTGTGGGACGCTATGGTCCTAGTTAGTTGGCGAAACATTGTGCAGTAGATCAAGGGCGTAGAAAACAAACAACTTTTATATAGCAGCAAGAAGGGATTATTATCGTTTTTGGCTATTTACGGCAAATATATTACTTATAAGCTTTATATATTAGCTAAATGCCACCCCAATAGATTAATTAGCGGTTTCACTGGTATTTTTTACGACATAAACAAGGAATTTTCTTTCAAAAGTCACTACTCAGGTGAAAATAGGTGATACTTTAAATAATGCTTGACTTTATCCATTTTACTTGTATTCTTCTTTTTGATAAATCCTGCATATAACGTGTTATGACGAACAAAGATAGTCACGGAAAGTACTTGTTATTTTTTTGTGGATGTAATAATTATTTTAGATCGATTAAATTCTGTCAACGCTGATCTACTTACTCTTTCCCATCTAAAATTTCGCTACTACTTTCTCTACGTTAGGTGCCAACAAATTCATACAGAGAACATAAAACAAGATTATCGGGAAAAGTTGGTAGGTAGGTAACTGCGCCGTAGATTATGCAATATTGTTGATGTAAAAAGTCCAAACAGTGCGCGATTGTGGGGGGTGTATGCTCGATCTATTTTCTACTTAGCAAAAATTTTCCTCCTGATAATAGGTATATTGAATTCATTGAAAAAATGCGTTGTTCTTGCAGGCTGCGAATTCCCTTCCGTTCCACTAGTTTGATTACAGTACAAGTTATGTTGCTTTGAAAACAAAACTACAAATAAATTATAACACTAAACCCCACCGGTAGGCTAACATCAACGGGTTTAGCTTATTAATACATATATCGAAAGATATGCTTTTTCACATTCTAACAGAGCGATTACCGATTAGTGGAAAATCTTGGAAAAGGGTAACACAGTACGATAAAAACCAATGATTAAGATCAATCTTACGTCTAAGCATCAGATATAAATGGGACTCGTAATCCACTCAAAACGAAAATTCTTCACGATCATATTAAGCATATGCCGGCGATCTGTATGTGAAATAAAATCAAGCACCAAAAATGCTGGGCGACGAACATATTTGTCACTCTCCGAATACCAGGTTGGTTCTATGCATGCTAATAAACTGCTCCAACTGCGTCACTTGCTCCTCCTCGGTCAAATATCATGGCGTCGTGCTATCTGCTGGCTCTGCTATTATATGTACCTAATATGCTGTTATTAAAATAGTTATGTATTCTTAAGTTTGCTTTCTTCCTTCCGGAGAATCAGTTGTGAGAGTGATGCAGTGTCGTATTTGTGGTCTGCGACAAGCTGCTGGCTGGATTTACTTCAGACTGTTACACCGTTGTGCGGAATCCCCAAATATGACGTGCTCTTTATTGCCCGCTCCTGGTCTGCCATCGCCGGTGCCACCAAGCCCGATATTCCCCGCACGAACGATGTCATCGCCACAGGCTGCTTCGAAGCCCGTCTGTCCAAGGCTGTGGCGCTGGTTCAGCTTGTTCCGCAGCTGCGTCTGCACCGGTAGGGTATGGGAATGTTCGCGCAATTTTACCTATGACGAAGTGATGTAGGAATATAGTTTTTGCTAAGGTAAATGTTATCATGAGGCTTACACTTGAATCAGTGTAGGATTGGAACGTGGGCATCGGAGCGTTCACATCACGCCTCGTTACCACCTTCTCCTGTATCGAGTTTAGCGTTTTCGAAAACCACGGCTGCCAGCTACTGCGGTTCGTTTGTAGCTCGGTCAGTGTTGTGGTTAGTTGGTGATGAAGATCCTACACCGAAAAAAGTTTTCATATAGTTACCATTGGGAACGCACATGATATTTTTCCAATAACAAAACTAATGATTTTTATCTGAAATTCACATAACATTCATATGATCACATGAATTCTATGTGATAAATCACATAAATTTCATTGCACACATAAGGTTCATGGGATTTTGTAGTGCGAGTACCAATTATGAGATCACATGAAAGCTATGTGAAATTCTAATGGATATTTTCCATCGGAAATGTGATTTATTTTTTGAGTGTATAGGAAAACCAGTCCAAACATTAACAACATTATTTTATCAAGAATGCGGTAGGTAGCACAAACCTGATTTTTACACTCGGCTTCAACCTGAGCCAGCTTGGTTTGAGCTAACTCCAGCTCCAGTTCTCGTATCCGTTGCGTTGCAATCAACAGTGGATCCAATGGCCCGAGATTACTTTCCGTCTGGTGGATGGTTTGATCATTGTTGTTCTCGCTGTTAGCATGCTGCAGATTTTTGCCATACGTTTTATGTAACGGCGATGATTTTGGTATGCTGGATGAACATTTTGAACATCCGGATACGGTTTTCTGAAAGGAAGGTTAGACGTTCATCTCAATCCTTATGTACGAGTCATGTGACTTACCGTCAAATCTTCCAACATTTGATGAAGTTTATTATTCTCATGTTCTTGTCGCTGGATAATTTGCTTGTAATCTGCGATAATCCCGTTGCTCTTCTTTTCCTCCTTCGCTATTGCCTCCAGTTTCTCATTCAGAACCACAATCTCCTGCTGCATCTTTCCTTTTTCCTCGTGGAAACGCAGCTCGTATTGCTTCATTTCTCGTTCTTTACGCTCGTTTTCCTCCTTCTTGGCGATGTACTCCAACTCGTACTTTTTCATCTTCTTCACCTTACATTCAAAAGAGAGCTTCATCAACTTCTTGGCCTGGTTTTCGCTCCGACATTTCTTCGGCAGTGTCACACGGAAGTACTTCAGGATCCCCTCAAAGTCCAGCTCTAGGAGATCCTTCTTGCACACAGAGAGCAACGTAATAGCGACCTGAAAGAGCACCGTGACCCCATCCAACAGGAACGCATCCAGAATGGAGAACACAAAGTACAGCGGGAAGCGTGCTGTGAACAGCGTCAGGAACCACTGGCTGGCGAACATGTGTGACTCGACACCCGTGTTGAGAAAGTGTTCGTAAAGATCCGGCAGTTGATCCTTCATAAGACGGTTCAGTTGGTACAACCGCAGGTACAGAGATTCGAACCCCATTTTGTACATATCACGAAGGCCGTAGTTGTACATGAGGGCTACCAGGACACAGAAGGCTTCTTCCTCGGGCATCTGCAATTACGTTCAAGAGTATGATAAGCAGGAGAACATCAGTGCATGGTTTATTGGGTGTGGAAAATCATTAGCTCAATATGTTCGGCTCGCAACTTATAGCGAATTTGTTATTCAGTTCCAACCTGGATCGAGTAACAAGATCTGCCCATAGAGGTAACTCTAAGACTAGAAGGTCCCGAAGAAACGAGCTCTACTTTTTGGCTCAGCTCTGGTACTATCTTCGGTCCCAAGCTAATCGATTCACCCCTCGAAACATAGGAAATTTCACTAACCCCTCATTTCATCTGTCAAACTTTCATAGCGAATCAAAACAAACATAGTGTAGTACTAAATTTTTTGCCTAGAATGGGGTACGTTAATCGATTTGCTTGGGACCAATAGGCTAGTCAAATAGTGAGCCAATTTCAAATCGATAGTTTCGTATTGATTGTTGATCTGCCTGCTTATTTTCTGACAAACGCCAATTTGATCGTTTGTTTTTAAAACCTACCTCAGGTTGAGGTTCGCACTGACAACAAGTTCGGTTTCGTAATTCCGATGATAAACAAATTCGCTATTAGTGTTCTTTGGGAACATCCACAGCTTTCTAAGCCAGTACCATATTTGCAGTAGTATTATTGTATGGCAAGTATGATCATGCCTAGGGAAGTCGAGAATTTGTTGACCCGAAAAATTCCTAGTTCGGACCGGGAATCTGACATTGAATGTGAATGCTGTTGAGATGGAAACAAGTAATTTCATTATACGAAAGGCAATGGCCCTGACCTAGCGATCTAAATGTCTGAATCGGAACGAGAACATTCTTTATGACGGGATAATAACAAAGAAACAAATGAAGAGATAGAGGTGCTCGAAGGAAACAAAAGAGAAGAAACAAGCGTAAGCAAAGCCCAGAAACAGCAGCCACTTGTGCTCAAGTATCCAAAAGATAAATATTATTTCTACATGTTTGGAATCGTCGAAAAAAAAAGTCTTTCGGCTCCTTACAGTTTTTAAGACGTAATACGTCTTATACAGGCCTGCCCTAGACTCCATATTTGTTGTCACAGATTAAATCGTATATGACGTCGAATCAAGTCGCTTAAAAATAAATTAAAATTTGCCACTTTTGTACGTACAAGCATTCTATGTTTGCATATCACAGAAACTTCTTTAAATATACGTGCATTCTGGATATCTGGGTCAGTAGCTTAGTTATTTAATAAGAAACTTTAAATGGTTGGCTGCTCTCCAACAATCATAGCATATTGATCTCAGCAACTTTTACCGAAATCAGCAAACATTCTAAGTTCTCGTCAGACAAAGATGAACAAGAATAGATAAACGCGCGGGCAGGTTGCGAAGACTTTTTTTAAACTCGTACAATTCCTTCGTTGTTCTGAATGAATTTCCCTGGTAGGTATAGTGGAGAATCTCTAGCCAATAAAACGATCCTATAACTATGAAACAGGACTACACGCTCCAACTCTTGTATTCATGAGACGTTAAAGACGTGGAGTTTGCATTTCAACTAGGGGCCTGTTCATTAACTACGTAGACAGTTTTTTTGGATTCTTCACCCCCCCCCCCCGCTCCCCCTGCGTAGACAATTGTCCATACAAAAAATTTAAAATTTGTATGGGCCGTGGATAGTTCTCAACCCCCCCCCCCCCCTGAACTGTCTACGTAGTTTATGAACAGCCCCTAGCCTCAATTATTTCTAGTGATCTCCTAGCTCCAAAATTGTTTTATGAGAGTTTACTAAAAAGTTGGGCCGAAATTGAACTGAAGACTCATACTTACATGAAGCAACAAACTGGCTGCTATGAAGCTCAACCCCTGGCAGTAGCCAACTTCCGTATCGTACACAGCGTACGCCTTGGACACCTTGTACAAACTGTCCTGCCCCATTCCACCGGTATCCTTAAAGTACCTATGCGCCGGAAATGTCCTGTTAATATCCCGCTGAATCACGTTCTCACAGCTCGTTTCTTTGGTAATCAGTATACGATAGGAATCGGCCATATCCGTCTTGTTCTCCACGTTGGCTAACTTTTGCCAAATCGTTCCCCGCAGAATGTCCGGTATTCCACTACGAACCAAATTCGCCAGGTTCTTCGGTCGCTTATCCAAATGGTCTCGATCCCATTCCACCAATATCTCGTTCCAATCTTCCAGCAGAGCGCTGGAACATTCCTTGGAAACTTCTCCGGTTCCACTCAGTAGCGGTTCGTCCCCGTCGGAACTATACTCCGGACTGGAGTCGTCAAACTCCATCGATTGCACACTTGCGGACGTTTTGAACGTCCATGTTTTGAAGTTTAGATTCAACGAAAGCGATGCCGGCGGTGTTGGTTCGACGATCTCATCTGAATGATCAATTGATTCCACCTTCCAGTTGCCCTCGTCACTCTCCTTCAGCGTCAGATAGTAGTGCATCACCAACAGTCGTTTGTTGGTGAAGAGATTTTGCATGATTCGTAATTCGCTTTGCGACAGGATCATTACTGACGTTTCGATAACGAACCGTACCGGTTCCTGGATACCCTTGATGACTAGATCAACTGCCACGGTTAGAGATTTCTTCTGCGTTTCCGTATTGAGCTGTTCGAACGCTTTGTCATTTGCTTTCCACTCGGCCCGGATCTGGTACGGGTTCTGAGCGTAGCTGGCAGCAGCCGTTAGCGATGTAATCGAAGCCGTCATTGGATTCGGAGCCGGTGGCACAGTCGTGTCTGTGTTGATGTAGCCCATGGTAACCATATCCAATAATTGCATATCAGCTTGTCGGACAATTTTCCCAGGGCTCAGCAGCACACCAAAACATCGCTCGATGTACAACGGAGGATACTGTTCCGATGGAATCTGTTTCACCACTATGCTAACCTCCTTATCGGTGTTGCACCGTAGCCGGAAACTGGACTTGGCATCCCTGGGCACGGTAATGTAGCCACTTTTCTCCTTTTCCTTGATCTCAAGCGAAATGCTAAATTCGTACATTGCAGACTGGATCGGATTGCCGGCACTGTCCGAGGTGATCGAGGACAACATAACGTTGGTACTGATGTCTGCCAGCGACGTTGTCATACTAGCCGGAATACTCGGGGGAAGCACACGCTGGAAGGCCTTGGCGAAGCAAGCTGTTCAAATAAATAACATTTTAATAATCATTACTAAGATCGACTCCTTCATTGCTACAAAACAAGAAATAAACTACTTAAAGCAAATATAGCTACATAAGCAGGCAGCCAGGCACCAAAATACAAATATGTGTGATTATGATTCTTAAAACTAACCGCTAACTTGGGTGACCGCTTCCGGGATGTTACATCTGAAGACATGGCACTGGTGAGTGGCAGTTTCCTGTGATTCTCCGTGGGACCAGGTAAACGCAAAGCACGCCTGGTTCGCCGACTTGACCGGGCCCCGAACAAAGAACAGAATCCGCTGAACCTCGTAGGTCGCCACGACAGTGTTTGTTTCCCCGTCGTAGAGCCTGTGGACGATCGTTACTCAGTTCACTCATTTTATCTGCGTTATTACAACACAATTCTCTACTCACACCACTAGTCCTTCCGAGCGAGTCGGGATGCTAACGGACACCTTCATACCGAGGGGCGATATGCTGGAACTGCCATTCATTTCCGCTACCTTCTGCAGGATTTCCTTTTCCGACTTCGGAGCATTGATCCGGGTCGCACCCAGGTAGGTCACACCACTGAAGATCGTACATTCCTGATCGATATCGGACACGTCGTCGTCCGTTTCCGTCGGACAGGGAGATTTCGCTACTTTCTTCTCCACCATTGGGCTGGCGTCCAGGCAGTCGTAGAATACAGATTGTCCGACTCGATTTTCCGGCGATTGAACATTGGGAGTACTAACCCCTACCGCTGCTGCTGATCCATTGGTGCCGATGACGACGGTGCTGCGTGGTTTCAAGCCACGTAGAGACAGCTGTGAAACCAAAGGCCTGTTGCTGCCACTGCTGCTGTTGGTCGAGGCGGATTTAACGGGGGCTAAAAATTTGCAAAGCGTGGTCTTCTGTTAGTGGCATGATTATTGAATGTTTTGGATGACGAAAGAAAACAATGCGCAAACAATAATGACGGAATTGGGAATGGTATGCGTACCGGATTTCATGCACCGCGTTCTAAAGCACGGAAGCATTTTTCGTTGCTTACAACTACACAACAAACGGTGATAACTGTTGTGTCAATGTGGTGAGCCTCGTTTGGATTTTCGATAGTGATCTAGTGAAGTTTATTATAATGAGTTATCCCTCAATAGACAACGGTAATGTATTTTCGATTGGTGATGTACATATATTTTCCATGGTGACCAGCAAATTTGGTTTTAGCAATTTCCCGTTTTTTTGCCCCGGAATTTTGGCAATTTTCCCAGCCGTTTTCATCCAGGAAAAAATATGTAGTCTAAGCAATGATCCATTTAACCGAGTGATCTCTTTGGCTCAATCGCATTCGGTTATATGGTTAATTTAAACGTATATCGCAAAAGCGGGAAAATTACCAAACTTTTCGGGTAAAAACTGTTTCTGCGTTCGAAGTCGTCAACATTAAATTTGTCTGTGAACTTCCGCTCAGAATTCTTTACAGGATTTTTATGAAATGTTCTCAAATTTCCTTTCCTTCACAGAATTCTTTTCAGAGTTTCTCTAAAATAAATTGGAGATTTTCTTTAAGATTCTTTGAAGATTTCTTTTTGACATTTCAGAACACTCCAAAAAAAATCAAGAAATTCATAATTGTATTTAAAATTAGCCTGAATTCTCCTTACGATTTCCATGCAGTTCAGCTCAGAATTGTCTTACAATTCTGCTTTTAACTATCCTTGAGGCAAATATACTGTATTAGCAATATTGTTCACTCTTCTGTTTTTTCAGAGACACTTTTGCCTGAATAAGTTCTTATTCAACATTAAATGTTTGTTGGGCTGTATGGCAAATTTAAGAGTGAACTACTTTGTTAATGTAGTACATTTGTCCTTGGTTTGTTCTCGTAATTCTCATAAAACTCTTCTCAGAATTCCTTTGGAATTCGATCCGCTGGGTATTTATCGCTGAATTTCCTTGTAACTTTCTTTAGAATTATCTTTAGTTTTTTTTTAAAGATCTCTATTCTCTTGGGATTTCCTTGGAATCCCACCACAACCCTTTTAAAATTCTTCTCAGAACTTATTTGGGATATTCGTCAGATATGGATCTAGAATCCTCTTCACAATCATGGTACTTGGCTCTGAGGAAGTCTACATGTAGTGGCCGAAAAAAGCAAATGTTTCAAAAGATAGGGAATTCTAACAGAATTAAAATGAAATTACTCAAATCACTCCAAAAACCTTAAACTGTGAAAAGAGTTTTGAGCAGTGTTTGTTTTTATCATTTACTATCACACTCAAGGAGTAGTGCTTCAACCTAGCATAGAGGTAACTCTAAGACTAGTAGCAACAATCAATACGAAACTAACGATTTAAAATTGGCTCACTACTTGACTAGCCTATAGTCGCTATATTCATAGTCTGGCGGATAGAATTTCGATCTATCAAAAATCTGAACCAATTCAATATATTGTAGACCAACAATTGAAAAGGTACTATCAACTTTTATTAACAAAACGTTGATTATTCTTTCCTCGCCAATTGAAGGTAAATTACAAGCATCATCGGATAGGGGAAACTTTCCACAACCTAAAGATGCCGTTAGTTTGTGTAGGTGAGTCTTTAGTCACGAAAAAACGGTTTCCGGAATTTTGTCCGCAGTACTGATGCGCTCTTTTCTGTCGTTGGTCATGATTTGCTCGATTGGTTCCGCTATTTGACAGCTCAATTGGTTCCCGAGATTCTATCCGCCAGACTATGAATATAGCGACTATAGACTAGCCTATTGGTCCCAAGCAAATCGTTTAACGTACCCCATTCTAGTAAAAATTCTAGTACTACAGAATGTTTGTTTTGATTCGCTATGAAAGTTTGACAGATAAAATGAGGGGTTAGTGGATTTTCATATGTTTCAAGGGGTGAATCGATTAGCTTGGGACCGAAGAGAGTACCATAGCTGAGCCAAAAAGTTGAGCACGTTTCTTCGGGACCTACTAGTCTTAGAGTTACCTCTATGCTAGTAGGTCCCGAAGAAACGTGCTCAACTTTTTGGCTCAGCTCTGGTACTATCTTTGGTCCCAAGCTAATCGATGCACCTCTCAAAACATAGGAAAATCTACGAACCCCTCATTTTATCTGGCAAACTTTCATAGCGAATCAAAACAAACATAGTGTAGTACTAGAATTTTGACTAGAATGGGGTGCGTTAATCGATTTGCTTGGGACCAATAGGCTAGTCAAGTAGTAAGCCAATTTAAAATCGTTAGTTTCCACCGGTTGTACTAGTCTTAGAGTTACCTCTATCCTAATAACGTGATTTTTGCTAATTTAATCGTACTTATTTAAAATAGTTCCAGTGTACCAAAATTGATTCCATTTTTAATACAGATTACGAATATGCATTTACCTCAATACCATTAAGGTGATTCCTTGTAGAGTCCACAAATGACCCCCACGTAGGCTATACATGCCCTTCCACTTCGAATTTTCAATTACGCAAATCTCGGAAATTAATGCCCCATTTCACCTGAAATTGCTACTTCATGTATGCTGCAGTACCACCGACAAACCGACATGGCACTTAATTCTGACTTATGCCCGAAAATTGTAAACGGCCGATTTAAATGTGCAGTGATCCGAACTGTCAAAACCATAGGATTTATTGATCTAGATTAAAAAATTTGTCCATAATAGATCAGACACAAACCAATTCGAAACTTTTTCATGTGGGTTCATGGCTAAGCTAAATATTTCCCGCGAACACGGAGCCAGATGTCAGTAGTGTGCTTTGGTCAGAAATTTTATTGTTATTGCTATGGTCATTCATGTCGGTTTGTCGGTGGCAGTACAGCAAACGTGGAGTAACAGTTTGTTTCATTGTGGTAAATACGTATCGTAGAAGCCGATATTTGTGCACTCAAAGTTTCGAAGTGGTTACGAGAATAAGGATCTCACAGCGAAACACCTTAAGGGGTTACGCCTACATGCAAACTTTCAAAAAATCGATTTGTTTTATTGTCCTAATCGAAAGTATATAAAGTCAAGAATATTTCCTCAAAAGATCAAGTTGATCCGATGAAAATTGTGAAAGTTATGCGACGTACAAAAATATTCACTTATAGTGGACTAAACCCAACTTGAAACTTTAAACGCGATTATCTATATTTTCAAAACCGGTGCCAAAAATTTCACGAAATGTATACATTCGATTCGTCCGATTCGTTTTGATTTCTGTTCAGTACTATTTTGTGCAGTCCACGATCGTTCGGATTTCGTCTATCATTTAATTTCGATTTTTTACAGCCGATCAAAGACAAATTTTAAGGATCAAAAATCGGCACTTCAACTTTGCAAGACCGCCATTTTGTCAAAAAAATTTAAAACAAAAACCGAACGATCAAGAACTAGTTTAACACATGCTTAACGATTTGGCATGTTTTTTTTTATTTCAGATGATTACATCACAAACCGCAGTTGGCACCGCAAAAAGCGTTTTTTAGAACATCGTCCACGGGGAGCAGCCGTGCGGGGCACCAGGACCTCGTTTTTACAGCATCGACTGATAAATGTACCATTTAATGTGTGTTCAATAAACGGCAGAAAACCGATTTTCAATATGTTGCGTCGTTTTCGAGAAAAAAATCCAAACTTTCGCTTTTTTTCGGTCTTGCAGGTAGGCGTAACCCCTTAAAGAACCCAATTGGTCAAAAATACGAAGATTCCCAAATGAGTGGAGAGAAGAGCCCGCCCTTTATACAATAAATGTTATCAACAGGGAGTTGGCATTCCCACTCTCCCCGTCCAAATCGCTTCAATTGGGTGCCCTGATGATCCCTTCCAATCCCAGCATTAATTTGTGTATTTATAATTTAAAACGATCTCACCACGATATTATTGTCCTGTGCGAAACGTGGCTCGATTATCGAACGCTTTCCAGTCAAGTCTTCGGTCCTGACTACGAGGTCTTTCGTTGCGATCGGAATCCTAACAACAGCCGTAAATCTACTGGTGGAGGTGTCCTTGTAGCTGTCCGCAGCGGGTTGGAGGCAAAGGCTATCGAGAACGATTCGTGGAACTATGTGGAGCAGGTTCGGACAGCCATCAATCTGGGTGATCGCACAATATTTCTATGCGCTCTGTACATTACACCAGATCGAGTCCGTGACAATGAACTCATCGATACTCACTGTCGGTCAGTTTTCACAGTTGTCGAAAGTGCCACTCCAGTTGATGCGATATTCATTTTTGGTGACTTCAATCTACCAGGCGTTTCGTGGAGTCCATCTCAAAGCGGATTTCTCTACATTTCACGCAGGAGCTATTAGCCTTCTCGACAACTACAGCGCAGCGACGCTTTCTCAAATTAACCATGTAGTTAACGAAAATGGTCGTAGTTTGAACCTCTGCTTCGTGAGCACACAGGACAGGGCTCCATCAATTTCCTCGGCTCCTTGTGCACTAAATAAGCTAGTTCCACATCACCCTCCTCTAATTGTCATTGTTGAGGACAAACTCGTGCGTGATTTCGACAACTATCCAGCTGCGGTTTCTTATGACTTCCGTAAAGCTGACCACCGTAGCATCATAGATGTATTGTCTAGCATGGTATGGGAGAACATCCTTGATCCAGATGACGTTGAGGCTGCAGCGCAAACCTTTTCACATGTCTTGGCATATGTCATTGACAGACACGTCCCGAAAAGAACTCACCACAAAGTGTCTCACCCTTCCTGGTAGACGAGAGAGCTACGTAGGTTGAAGTCAATCAAGAGAGCAGCATTGAGAAGATTTACGAAGTATCGCACGCTTCCTCTGAAACTACATTATGTGAGGCTGAATCACATGTACCAGTGAGTCAGTCGTGAATGCTTTTCAAGTTTCCAACGAGGCATCCAGCGCAAACTTA